CGCCCGCGCCCTCCCGGGCCCGCAGCCCCGGCCCCCGTCGCTGCAGCCTCGGCCCCGCCGTCCGGGGGAACCCCACCGGGCACGCGCTTGCAAAGAACCTCTGCGCCCCCGGGATCTGAAACTGAAACTTTTCATCTCGGACGCAGTCTTCAAAGGAGAAAACGGACCAAGGGGCGCGGGGCTCCCCCGCGAAAGACCCGGGGTTCCCAACCTGGGGTTTCCTGCCTTAGGGGTTTTCTGTTGTTGTTGTTAACCACTGTCTGGTTTTCTGGTTTCTCCAGCGCCGAGGATTTCGTATGATGCAACATTTTGGCTGCTCCCCCCCTGCGTGTTGCCGCCCCGGGAAAGATTGCCCTTTTGTTGGGAAAGAAAAATTTGTTGAGAGAACGAATTCATTCCCTCGCTTTGGACCCCAGCGGGACCGATCCCCCTTCCTCCCCACGTCCTTCCCGCCCCCTTTCGCTTTTATATCCCGGAATTAGCTTATCTGCTTCCAAATCCTATTCGTGGCCCCTTCCTATTTTTCTTTAGTGTTTTTCGGTGTAGGGAAGGAAACAGCTGGATCCAGCTGCTTTCCCTAAAACGTTTTCTTTGAGGTTCTCTCAGCCACTTAACTTTTAGCAGCCAGGCTGCTTTAGAGCAGGGCAACACTGGAAGAGTTACCAGGGGATCCAGTACTTTTCTATTTTCTTTCCTGAGTTTTTGGTTTAGAGAAGGGAAGAACTGAAGGGCGCATTTTAAGAAATGGCGAGGAGAAAGTGGATCACTGTTTACCTTAGGATTTTCTTTCGATTCTCAGTTTGAGAAACATTTTGCTCCCCCAAATGGGAAGAGCTGAAGGGTGTGTAGAACTTCCAGAGTGGCAGTTAAGTCTCAGCTACTCTGAGTGACAGTACTTTGAGGTGAAGAGAATGTGGGAAGGAACCCGAAATGAGAGGGAGGAAGAGAGGGGAGTGGAAAGCTGTGTGGACAGGGAAAAGGGTGGGTCAGAGATCAGGGGAAAATAAGTTAAAGAGGTTAGAATTGGAAGGAATTTCCTTACTCTAAAAAAAGTATATGCTATAACCCAAAATAATGGTGAAACTTTATGAGCATTTTTATTTATTTATTTTGTTTTTTTTGGGGGTCTGGTCGTGGGGCCTGAACTCTGGGCCTCGGTGCTGTCCCTCAGCTCTTCAGCTCAAGGCTAGCGCTCTACCACTTGAGCCACAGCGCCACTTCCGGCTTTTTTTTTCCTGCTTATGTGGTGCTGAGGAATCGAACCCAGGGCCTCAAGCATGCAAGGCAAGCACTCTACCACTGAGCCACCTTCCCAGCCCTTTATGAGCATTTTTAAACTTAGGATAATATCAGGATGCCTTCTCAGTATTCTGGCTCACACAGTAAACACTTGCCTAGCATGCAATATGTGCTAGGTTCAGGCCTCAGGACTGGGAGAAAAATGAGAACGATTTGGAAGTGGGCAATGTCTTAATCCCAGCTACTCTGGGGGTAGAGGCGGGACTATTTCAGATTTAGAGATAGATCTTATCTCAAAGACAAAATGAAGAGCTTGAGGGATTTGGCCCAAATTGTAGAGCTCCAGTCTAGTAGGTCTGGGACCCCACATTCAAACTCTAGTATCCCAAAGAAAAAAAATAAGTTAACTAAAATAAAAGAAAGAGGCAGGAGAAATATAGGTCAGTAGTGGAGTGCTTGCCTAGCCTAGATGAAGCACTAGGTTCAGTTCCCATTAACACCCATTCAAACACCACACAGGACACACAGGACACACAGGACACACAGGACACACACGACACACACACACACACACACACACACACACGACACACACACACACGATTCCTGTTGAACTTCTGGTGAGTTAATCTCTCCTTTAGAAGGACTTGGGTGTGGTCACTTTCCTGAAGTTGAGTCACTTGCATACCCCTTCTTTCTCAGTTTTCCATATCTTTGTTGTGAACCACCTGGAGTCATCGTTGCTTGCATGAGCTATAAGTCTGTCTTTTGTGAAGGTCCTGAGGATTGAACTCAGGGCCTTGCCACTGAGCCTTTGTACTCAAGGCTAGCTAGCACTCTTAGCATTGGAGCCACAGCTCCACTTCCAGCTTTTTTGGTGATTAATTGCAGAGAAGAATCTCATGGACTTTGCTGTGGGGCTGGTTTCAAATCTACTGGTATCCTTAGATCTCAGTGTCCTGAGTAGCTAAGATTACAGGCCTGAGCCACCAGCCCCCATCAGAAGTTTTCAGTATGGGTTTGGACACAGAGCTAGAGTCATAGTTTTGTGCTTATATGCTAAGTTATTCTGAGCTATTGGTTTTCCTTATTAGAGCCTTTTTTTGTTGTTGTTGTTGGTGTGGGGCTTGAACTCTGAGCCTGGGCACTGTCCCTAAGCTCTTCAGCTCAAGGCTAGTGCTGAACCATTTGAGCCACAGTGCCACTTCCAGTTTTCTGGTAGTTTATTGGAGAAAAGAGTCTCACAGACTTCCCTGCCTGGGCTGGGTTTGAACTGTGATCCTCAGATCTCAGCCTCCTGAGTAGCTAGGATTACAGATGTGAGCCACAGTTTGCCCACCTAAAGCCTTATTTTTATTTGTGAAATGAAAAGCAAAATGCTAGCCTGGGATTCAACATAGACCAATTTTTCACTGACAAAGACTAGTGTTAGTTGGGTGAATAAAAAGACAACTAAAACATACTCTTGATTTCTTCTCAAAACCTATGTAGAAATGCAAATAAGAGAAAATACCCTTGTAAATACAGTAAATTTGAAAATAATCGGGCTGTGGTGTCCAGAGTGCTATGCTAAATTGTCTTAATTATTTTTTTTCGTGGGGGCTTGAACTCTGGACCTGGGCGCTGTCCCTCAGCTCTTCAGCTCAAGGCTAGTGCTCTCCCACTTGAGCCACAGCACTTCCGGTTTTTTCTGCTTATGTGGTGCTGAGGAATCGAACCCAGGGCCTCATGCAAGGCAAGCACTCTACCACTGAGCCACCTTCCCAGACCTTGTCTTAATTATTCTGTCAAGAAGTATTTGAGTTTATAGCAGAGAACTTTTTTTTTTTTAAAGCAGGAATAAGAACACACACAATTTACCACATGCATCCACACAATTTATTACATGCTTAAGTCATAGGAGTATTAGCCTCAGTGCCAGCAAAATTTATTTACATTGAAGCACAGTGTATGTGTAGGAATTCTTTGTGCATTTCTTTTCCCTATTATTTAGCACCAAGATTTAGAACCAAGGTTGCAGTTTGTGTAGAGGTAAATATTAACTGATTGATGACCCACAAAATAAGAGACATTGAGAAGAGTCTAGATTCCATTGGCTTGTGAGGGCCCAGCTTCTGTTGACACTGCTGCCTCTCGGTGCATACTGGGAGCTTTAATATGACATGAGGGTATTTCTCATCTCCATTTAGGAAATAATCCCTTTGTAGTGTTTAGTTTTATGAGTTGGGACTTAAATTTGATATATTACTATAAGCTGGAGCATGGCTGCAGTAGCCACCAAGCTACTGGGATCCAGGTGCTAATTGTAAATTCGTTAATTTGGTGGAGGATGACATCAGTAATTTTTCTTTTGTTATTTAGAAGAGATTTCTCTTGTGCATGGACTTTTGAGCTAGACTCCTGGCTTTTCCTAATATGTCAGTCAAGATCCTTAGGTTCTCAGTGGTGGTTTCTGTCTCAATAATATTGGGATAAAGTAATAATAATAGCTATTTTATATGGTTGCTGAGCGATTAACTGGTAATCTGTGTATACTCACTAGTATCTAAACTGCTGTAACACTTAATGCTCTGCACCCAAACAGTGTTTCAGACAACATGTAATTTTTTATTTTTTTATTCTATTTTTTTGTTGATCATGGGGCTTGAACTCTGGGCTTGTGGGCTGTCCCTGTGCTCTTCAGCTCAAGGCAAGCACTCTACTGCTTGAGCCACAGCGCCACTTTCGGTTTTCTGGTTGTTTATTGGAGATAGGAGTCTCACGGACTTTCTTGCCTGGACTGGCTTTGAACCTCGATCCTTAGATCTCGGCCTCCTGAGTAGTTAGGATTACAGGCATGAGGCACCGGTGCCCAGTGCAAATTTTTTTTTCTTTCTCACCTTGCAGTCTAGGAGGGTGTTCTAGATCTCTGTTCGTGATCAAGGCTCTTTCATCTTATTTTTTCACTAAACATCTCTCTCACCAGAGCATTGTCCTTTTTTGTTTGTGTATGTATGTATACACATGCACAAATACATATGTGCATGTGGGTGAGGAGTGTTGGCTTCGTCCCTTAGCTTTTTCACTCAAGGCTGATACTCTACCACTTGAGTCACAGCTCCATTTCCAGCTTTGGTCAGCTTTTATGGTGAAGTCTACTGCTCTACCAATTTGAGCCACACCACTTCTGGTTTTTAGGTGTTTATTTGGAAATAAGATTCTTACAGAGTACATGCCCAGGCTGTCTTTGAACCATGATCCTCAGATCACAGCCTCCTGAATAGCTAAGATTACACGTGTGAGTCATCATTTCCTCAACCTGCCCTCTTCTGACTAGTCACAGCTGGTGAGACTATAATGAAAGCACATTTTTTTTTTTTTTTGGTGGGGGAGAGGGGTTGTTGGGCTTGAATTCAGGGCCTGGGTGCTTTCCCTAAGGTTTTT